GACTTTGACCGTGATCTCGATCGAGATCTTGAGCGTGAATAAGAACGATTCCTTGAAGTACAAACAAAGTATTCGAAATCAAAAACATATACTAAACTAATCGTTTCAAATACCTAAATATCATAATATTCCTTTCGTTTCTTTTTACCTTCTYCGTGGTGGTGATCGAGACCGACTGCGACCTCGTCTGACGGGTGACCGSGATCGACTCCGTGATGTYTTCCTGTATGGTGGTGATATCGACGGTGACCKTCCTCGAACAGGTGAACGAGATCTTGAYCGTCTTCTCCTCTCGGGAGATCGTGGAGGCGAAGGAGAATTAGTCCTTCAAGAAAAAGTGGATGCGTGAAAAGGAAATATGGAGAAGAATGAAAAGGAAATAGGAAGAAATTGGGCATGATAAGGAAATGAAAGAAATAAGAAGAATGAAATAGGAATGGAAAGAGAAGTAAATGGGAAAGTAATGGGAAAAACTAATAGCTCACTTTGGTACTAGTGCAGGTTTATCTTTTTCTCTGGCATCACGTTCTTTAATAAAAGGTAATTTTGCTTTGAAAAATTCAAACAGTCCACTCTGTTCCCAGCCATCACTGAAAGGAATGAAACATAATTTCAACAAATGAATGAAAAAACAAGCTTCATGGGTGACATTTYGGACTTATGTTCATCTAGAAATGAGTTAATTACATGAATCTCTATTAWATTGTACCTATTTCTTGGCCTGTCATGACTTGGTGGACTGTAAAATGCTTCAACAGCAGCAAGAAGGCGATCACTGGGTGGCTGAGGGGCTGGTAGTCGGATGTCGCATGGTTCAAGAGGCTTGTAATCTACATCTGATAACTGATGACATAAAAATGGATTATTGATTATCAATGGTAGTTTGGTGATCAGATCATTCCCAAAYGAGGCTCTCTTTTGAYGTTGCCCTCCTAAACAAACCCTTTAAAAACACCTCACTAAAATTCCTAACTGACAAATAGGCAAACTCTGATTCTTACAAGCATTGCAAAGAGACTGAAAAATGAACGAGTATACGAGAAGTACTTTGATCATGTTTTACTTTAGATATTTCGGCTACTAGCTGTAGCCATCATCAGTATACGTAACTAAAACTAAAAGAATCTGAATTTTACATGTAAATTAGTTAAGTAAAGACAAARATATGGTGTCATTTTGCTCATTTAAGAGACTGAACAAATTAAAATCAGAAGAAAATGCAGTCTCAGTAGTCATGATGGGACTTTGATGTTGGCWTGTTTTTCCTTTATCAATATCATCATCATCACTGACCTTAACCATTGGTGCCATCAARCCAGCTGGCAATTCATAGTACATGGCATCAGGGATGATGGGTCTGGGGGGTGGTGGTATGGGGGGTCCACCCATATCAAACCCATCAGGGGGACCATACCCATCATGAGGGCCATATTCATCCATTTCACCATGTCGATCGTAATCATGTGGGGGTCTGTTGTCGTAGTCATCCATGTGCTGGGGGTAATCAAAGCCTTGTGGAGGACCAAATGGTGGTCTGAAACCTGAAATTTGCCATGAGAAATTGTCACTTTATCAAAATATTCTATAATCAAAAATTTAATTAACCGTGCATTGTTCTGATCAGGTTCAGATCAGATCTAAATCTTCTGATCAATGTTCAATATTTCTCTGATTAAGTGTTCCATTTGTAAACTTTGATCTGATCAAGTGTTCCATTGTCTGATCTCTTATAAAATGCTCCATTGAAAGAACAATCTTGYGATCAAAGATTCCATTTTTGAAATRCTTTTTCTTATAATATCCATGATCATATCGGAATTTCTTGTTACCTGGATCATGGAAGTTAGGAGGTTCATTGAATGGAGGTGGTGGTCTGTTAAAGTTAGGTGGTGGCATAGGAAAGGGTGGGAAGTTYCCTCTGTAGTCTGGAGGGAAGGGTGGCGGAGGTCCTTGGCTGCTGTAGTAAGGATCGTTGAAGCGAGGGCCAAAGGGGGGAGGACGATTGTAAGATGGAGGAGGGTACTGCTGATCATCTTGATGGTCTGGCTCCTGAAAGAAAATCATTGTAATTATATCTTAATCAATTAACACATCCACCAATTATTCACTCATAACTCAATCATTTTCTTTTCAGTTCCTCCATCCATTCATTCATTCATTCAATCATCCATTTCATTTATTCAGTTGCCCATCTATTCAGTTGTCCATCTATTCAGTTGTCCATCTATTCAGTTGTCCATCTATTCAGTTGTCCATCTATTCAGTTGTCCATCTATTCATTTGTCCATCTATTCAGTTGTCCATCTATTCATTTGTTTCCATCTTACCATTGCTGTTTGTCTATTTTCACTGCTTGTTTCATGTGTGTTTTTAATGTCTTTTTCTTCAGTCTCTGGATCTGCAGGCTTAACTTCCTTCTCTTCTGTGTTAACAGTTTTTTCATCTACATTAATGGAAGGATGATATCTTTATCCCTTAGATTATCTACAAAGCCTTTTAACTCCTTGGTATAATACATGTACAATTTTTCATTGATGTTTGTCAGGGAGTGTCACAAATGAAGTGTATACACTATGATAACAGTATAAAAGAAACACCATAACATTTGCAATATTTATTCAAAATGATAACATTTACAGCACTAGGGCACCCCCCTGGAATTGCTTCCTTCTAGACCTTACATACCTGTATCAGTATTTGGTTTATTCTGTGAGGTGTTAGTAGTTGTCTGTCCRTCCTGTCCTGGGTACTGTGTATATTGTCGGTAGTATTCTTGATAGGGGTATGTGTTGGTTTGGTATTGTGATGGTTGCTGGTATTGATATGATGCCGATGYGGGATAATACTTTTCCTTGGCTGCTGCAATGATTGCCTCTGAAGATTCTGGATTTTTTAGTTTCTGTAAAATATATCATTTGTCTTARTCAAATATCACTATACTTTGAGAGATATTAGTTTAAGAGTGAATGTACTAAATCCATGAAACATTTATACTACAAATAATTATTAAACTAATTCTGGTATTTCTAATAGTCTAATTAATACTATTTCTTTCATGGACTAAATGTGAACACTGCAATATTTGAATTGTATGATTTTTGTTACCTGCATTGTTGCAGCATCTAAGAAGTTATTTGTCTCCCARATACCAAGAACTTTGTTCAACTTTTTCAAGCCATCACCAACCTCCCCTTTGATGGCATTACAGAATATAGTAGCAACRACATCCTGTGTTGCRGTATGCAAATCTTGAGCTGACTTTCTCGCAACATGATGAAGGATATCGTTTACTACATAAACTGCATGGAGTTTCTGATGAAACTCTAGTTCTGGATCTATKGATCTGTAGTAAAATATTAGAATACATACTAGTTAATTAATAATAATAATTAACTAATAATATTATTATTAATTAATAATAATCTAACAATTAATAGTATTAAAAGTTAGTTTAATGGACTTATATATTTTAAGGTACATGCTAGTATTTTTAATCATTTGTGAATTGTAAAAAAGTTCTTACCTTTTGAGGATGTGATCCATTATATACTGACAGTGCTTTGGACTTTTAGCATTGTTGAAAACCCATCCCCTTCCAGTCTAAGAGAAAATGAAAAATAAACTTAATATTTATTGACTCATTACATGTACAAAGGCCAATTCTATTCTTCTTGTATTTCATAYATTCCACATTCTTCATCAACCTTTACTTACCGATATAGCATCTTTAGAACCAGTATCCATCAACTTCTGTAGCATTCCATCAAACTCCTTCAGGTCCAGGTCACTGGGTGGCTGAGGTGCCTGTTGGTATACTGTCTGTGTTGCCGGTGGTTGAGAGAACGTTGCCGGAGGAACCTAAGTGATACAATGAAAATAGAAGATTAATGAAYGAACTCCTTCACTGAAATTAAAATAATACAATAAATTACCTGAGGAATGGTTGGTGGAGGCTGGGACTGTTGTTGCCATGGCGCTGAGTTGATTGACTGCTGTACAATAGCCTGTTGTACAATAGCAGACTGGGCAGACGTGAACTGGGGAGCACTCCCTTGTTTCTGGGATTGTTGATATTGTTGTGTCTGATTCTTGGCTGAATAAAAATATGTGATTAGAACACATTAAATCAAGAGACGTTCTAAGACATAGCTATATAATTCCCAAACATTCTGTCATTATCGTATTTTGTGTTTATAAATCCAATCTACTCCAGTCTCACCTATCTCCAACGACACTCTCCATCTGTAGTAGTTATAGTAATTGTTACCATTGCTTAAAAATCCAAACTTAGGATTATCTTTTTGTTTTTGTCTTGTCATTTCCTCAAATTTGCTTCCATTTCGTGCAACAAAATTTGCAAGTTTATCGATGATGTTCTTGAGCTCTTGATCTGGAATTGAAACACAACTATGCTATAACTTAACTTAAATTCAAACATTTCAAAGATTGTAAAGATGAGAGAAAGTGAGTGTGTTACAGATTTAATCTACACYTACCTTCTGGAGCAGGGAATGGAGGTTTAGTTTGATTGCCATCAGTCATGATTTTAGATCAGATAGAATATAAATTTACTTCAGCTATTCTTGTTGTCACTCTTCAAGTCAAAATGCAACTCGTCTCAAAGACTYTCAAAGCAAAGCTTTTTTTGCACTGCTKTCTTGGCTAAAAATACAGCATATGAAATAAAACTACATATTCCTATCAAAAACTCTCAACCTTTAGGGCAAATAACATCGAAATTAGAACGAAAAGGTGATCTTTTTGGGCTACTACCCAAATACACACATGGAAAAACAGCAAGATGGCTGCCGCACGTGTGGGACTAAGTACTAGTTACCAGCCTTCCTAAGATAAACATTTCGAACGTGAAACTAACTACGGCACAAGGTACAAGAATTAGATAGAAAATGGCATCAAGAAAATTACTTTTATCGGGAATTCGACCGATCTTCACTTCAAAGACKGCGCCATTGTTATGTCGCTCAAAGGCCACGGCAGCACCACTAGAACTCAGTATCCTTGAAGATTATTTGACATTACTACTATTAGTGTTATGCAAGAACAACTGAAGATATTAGATCATGATAACRTTTTACAATACTCTCATTAATATAAAATAATATATATGACCCTGCGATTGTTTATTCATGTTATTTGTTTATTTCAATGTCATTGATGTCAGCATCAGTTTGCCCTTAACAATTATCAGCCCCTTTGGAACAGAAAAGAAAAAAATTTGGTAAGTGTTGATCACAGACACCTCTATAATTCGGACACTTTACTATTACGGGCACACTGATCGATCAGTTGTGCTTAAATGTATATACTTTATACCTACAATGACAATATACTGATTAATCAATATTTAAATTTGAACAGCAAAGTTTGAATACATGGACCCCCTGAATATAGATGGCCAACTTACAGAAGAAGAAAARATGGTTAGGTAAGTGACCTTTCTATGTCAGAGATTAGACTCCTTGTAGCCATTTTGAGTGTCATTTCACTAATACTCCCTCCCCCCCCCCCCACAGGAAGAGGATTAGTGAGACTGCACAGTAAATGGCTGCAAGGAAATTAATGGGAGGTGGGAGGGGTGATGGTATTGTCACTGAGGTGAAAGTTGTTTATAGCACCTCTGTGAAAGGTAACCTTTACAGTGAACTAAGACTTGTAACTAGTGAGCTTCTATTATTGTATGCAGTGGCGGATCCAGGATTTTTCAAAGGGGGKTTCCACTTTGTTTTCACATTTCTAAAACAAACTTTTTTTACTGTGCCTCTCGAACTGTAGCAGACACCCACATTTCATTTATCATTTTGTTATGCTCGAAGGGGGTTCTTAGGAACCCATGGAACCCCCCTGGATCCGCTACTTCTATGCTCAACTATAGTGTTGTCACCCCTCATATAAATGCAAAGGCTTCCATTCATGATGGTAGATTGAAATGTTCTGAAAATTAGAYTWTTGTTTTGATACCACTTTGCAGAGATCAATTCAGAAGCTACTGTCAAGAGAAGTTGATGCCTCACATCATGTTGGCCAACAGGAATGAATGTAAGTCATTATCATCAGTAGATTGTTACAATAACAAGTACTGTATGGYTTGTGAGACATCAAGTTATTGACTAGCCATGAAGAAGCATATCACACCAATCATGTTATGTTTTTTTTTAGATTTTAACAGAGAAATCATATCTGAAATGGGTGAAATAGGTGTTCTTGGTGCAACTATTGAAGGTACTGTGTTATTCTTGGGTTTCCTGTGCTTTCAATACTACAGGAATCCCAGCATAATGCATGGTCTTTTCTGCAGGATATGGATGTGCTGGAGTTTCTTCAGTCGCCTATGGTCTCATTGCCAGAGAAGTTGAAAGGTATATAATAAAATAAGGTCCTTTAATAAGCTGAAACTCAATGAGATTTTCACTTTATAACTTAACAGTTTCTTTCTCAAAAAAATTATTACCAAAAATGTTGGCTTTCTAACTCTAGTGATATCTCATAAGAATTSATTGTATTAAAATGCAATGATTTCTCTTCAAGGGTTGACAGTGGGTATCGTTCTGCTATGAGTGTCCAGTCTTCCCTCGTCATGCACCCTATTCACACCTATGGGACAGAGGAGCAAAGACAGAAGTATCTTCCTAGAYTGGGTGAGTGCTGGGGTTCCTATGGAAACTGATTACAACTATATTTGTGTAGTAAATGGTCTRATTTTGTTYGTTAYATGTAGCTCGTGGAGATATCATTGGATCRTTTGGTTTGACTGAGCCTAATCATGGAAGTGACCCAGGGAGCATGGAAACTAAAGCTAAATATAACCCAACYAGTGACACATATACATTGAATGGTAGCAAAACATGGTTGGTATATAAGCAGAAAGATGGAAGAATGGAAGAAAGAATGTGAAAGAAAATGAGAAAAGAGGAAGGAAGGACAGCAGTGGTAGTGAAAAAAAGTGAAAGAGGGAATAAAGTGTAGACTATGAAAAAACCCCTGAAACAATGAAAAAACTTTAAGAAAATAGATTATAATAGTTATTGTGTTGKATTTCAATCTAGGATCACCAATTCTCCTATTGCKGAYGTGTTTGTTGTCTGGGCAAAGTGCGAGGATCAAAAAATCAGAGGATTCATTCTTGAGAGAGTAAGAAATTTATCTTTTCTTTGTATATTATCAAAGTATAATAACCAGTAATGATTATTATTGCTATCAGGGTATGAAAGGCTTAACAACTCCAAAGATTGAGGGTAAATTCTCCCTACGTGCATCTATAACTGGCATGATTGTCATGGAAGATGTTGAAATTCCTGCCGATAATTTACTTCCACATGTAGAAGGATTGAAGGTGTGTAAAARGATATCTTAAAATCACAAAATACAATCATGTAGTGGTCCTACACACTAATATTTGTGTGAAMATTTCCAGGGTCCCTTTGGGTGTTTGAACAGTGCTAGRTATGGTATTGGATGGGGTGCCCTTGGTGCTGCCGAATTCTGTTATGAAACAGCAAGACAGTATGTTCTTGACAGGTACATATTATGGTATGCTTTTGCTCTTGATAAAGTGTCTGAAGACAGCAGCGTTAATAACRCAAAACAACAAAGTTATAAATTAGTGTAACACCAGCATTTCTCACTTCAAAAATAGCAAGGATTGTCAAATTTAAATGTTGTACATTATTAACTTTCAAGTGTAATATCTCTTCAGAGTTCAGTTTGGTAGACCRCTTGCAGCCAATCAACTCATACAGAAGAAGCTAGCTGACATGGCTACTGAGGTAACTATACACCAGTCAATCAACTTAAACAAATTTTAGATAAGTATTGTTTATCATGTATTATTTTTGAAGATTTCTCTTGGACTTCATGCGTGCCTTCAAGTTGGAAGACTRAAGGATGAGGGAAAGTAAGATATTTTTTGATAAAACTCCTTTTCCTGTCATCTTTGTGGCTTGCACTCTTACCAAATTACTATAGAATATTGATTATTCTTGTTTTATAGGCACTGTCCTGAGATGGTGTCAATGATCAAAAGAAACAGCTGTGGTAAAGCACTTGATATCGCAAGGACAGCACGAGACATGCTTGGAGGTAACTGCCATCTTAGTGCAGTGTGAAAATTAATAGCAAACGAGCTGTTGGGCATAATGTCTAGGGAAGTTCAAGTTGAAAAGTCAAAGCATCTAATGAAGCTTAAGAAAACATYCATTCACAATGATTTGACCAGTCAAAAGTTACTTGGACTAGACAATCTGACCAGCTTTTGTTGTTTGCCAAGAGACATTTTCAAGATAAATCTATTCAAGTTCATTGTAGTGACCTAAGCAAAAATGGTTAAATTGGTTTTTCCAGGAAATGGTGTTGCTGATGAATATCACGTCATTCGTCATGTCATGAATCTGGAATCTGTCAACACTTATGAGGGTAAACCTAACATTTTCCAGTATTTGCAATGTTATTTCACTCGATAGTAACACACAAATGTTTGTTTTCCTAGGAACCCATGATATTCATGCTTTRATACTGGGGCGAGCCATTACAGGCATCCCAGCATTTGTATAATGGTCACTTTTGGATTACTTTCATATATAATAACTTCAAACCTAGGAAATAATTCTCAGCATAAGAAATAAGATAGGGATTGTCATCTAGTTTCTACTGAAAAATACCTTTTAAAGCATGAACAACASTGAGAAACATGAAAGTCTTCTTGGCCCAGTTGCATGGTAAAAATGCAAAATAAAGGATGTTTCTCCAGCATGATAAACTTGGTTTAAGATGTTGATATATTCTAGCCTAATATTTATTAATATTCAGTGATTCTACTGAAGATTTTCTTGGAGATTTTATTGTATGTAATACTGATGAACAGGTTTTGTCACTCAAGTACCTTRGCATTGGAAATACAAACAGTTTTGAATCAAACTGTAAAGCTGCTTTGCCTTTCAGAGACACACAMWMT